AACGTGTAGGTTGTAGATATACAGTAATAGGAAAGGGACTTGTTCTTCAAAGAGTTGGAATTTAGAATAATTAAGTTTTTTTAAATCTAATTTATTCTTCATATGATATCTGACACATTTGATCTTTGTTTATACAAATTCATACAATTATTGAACTTGGAGGAAAGCAGCTATGAATAATTTTTTTTGTTGTAATTAGTTAGTAATAATTTTATAACAATTTTCACCATTTTAGTCAAAAATTAATAGACTTAAGTTATAATATCTTTTAATTAATATTAAGCATTATTAATATATTTTTGAGCTTTGATTCGTACAGGTAAAAAAAATCCGATAGTTTGCCATTTAATTTTCGATTTTAAATTATCGTTTGCCATTCAATTTTTGATTTTAAATATCGTTAATTTTAACTATGTTTTTGATAAAACTGTCCCATAAAATACCTGTAAAAAGTAGGGGCAATCAATGAAACGCAAGTGTATTTGTTAAAATTGAGCAGAAAATAAATATCAAGTCAAAAACAATTTTTCTTTATTTTTCTTGTAACAAACTTTGAAATAGAACAAGTGCTTTTTCAGCTACAGTAATTCTCTTCTTTTAATAAAACAGGAGAATTAGAAAAAGTATTTGCTTTAATGATTATAGAACTGTACAATTATATTCTCTCTAGCAATTGATTAAAGAGAAATAATTCTTATTTACAGATAATGTTATTTATGAAATATATCATCTTCATTAAGTAAAAACCGTGCAATCATTTATTGCTTATGAAGACCTTAAAGCGCACTTTAATTTACAGTTCCTGGGTTTTCACAAAATACATACATTTTCAAATTTCGTTAAATATATTGAGACATAACATAATACAATTAAAAAACGAAATGCAATAAAAAATATGATTCTCTACTTAAGTTTAAATTAAAAGGTGTACAGAATTAAAGGAGATATATGTAAGAAGCCTGCATTGAAAATTGAGTAATAAATTTCCATGGAAATTGTAGAATATTATAGTAAAATAAAGGAAATGTTATGCAGCAAATAATAATAATAGTTCCAAAATCAGCACTAGGTGACGTATTATAGCTTTTTCGAAAACATATTCAAATAATAATGAATCATATACAAAAATTAAGAAACGGAGTATTTACAAAATACACTCAATGTCGATGTCCGCTATTGTCTGCTACCACATAAAATTTCTGCTATTTTAAACAGTTGAAAATAGTGTAGTAGCCGTTTAATGTTACGCACATGTAGTGCTATCTTTAAGTTTGGAGATATTAAAGGAAAATCACAAAAGACTAAAACTTGTAAGGATTCTAGTCTGGAGATCTGACAGATCAAACAATAGAAAATGATGGATGATGATCGCCATCTAGTGTTTATTTTTGGAACTTTTTTGCTAGATAAAATTTATACCGCGACTAATTTTAGCGAAATTAAGAGGCTTGAGTTTTTAAAACAGACTACTCACTGATTTCATCTTTAATAATAGTCATCAGTTTAAAATTATAGATAAAGGGCCCAAAATATTAAATTCTGAAGAACTATGTGTGTTTTTTAATTTTTTTAAATTATTTTTTTAATTATGTTATCTTTTAAATGGTTTAAAAAATCTGTTTTAATAAATAAAATTTAGTTTCTTTTTTCTCTTTATTAATTTAAAAATAAGTTTTTTTTCATTATTATTTTTATATATTTTTCTCAATTTCAAGCGATAAATCTCAAAAAACTCACGACATAACATCAGGAAATATGGATAACATGTATTTCAAATATATTTAATTTTTTTTAAAAAAAAAACTAAAAATTGCATATTATACATTTCAATGTTAATATTTTTTTAAATAATTCAAAAGCTATTAGTAAACATTGCTAAAGATAAATTATATCATGGATTTTATTTTTCAAAATAAAACGGAATTAATAATTTAAAGCGTGTTTTCATTACATCGAAAACTTTTTTAATATATTTTAATGAAGAAATGTGAAATTGTTTCATATACGTATTAAAATATACAACAGAACAGAAAATTTCAAAATAATGCATGCATTTTCAAAGAATTTTTCCCGGACCCTTAAATGATCAATAACGAATATCCTAAAAATATTTTTCATAAAAAAAAATGACTGATTGAAATGTTTTTCGAAATGTTTATAATGAGTAACGTATAAATCAGTAGTAATCATGGTGTTATGTTCTCTCCGTTTAGCAAAACAGAGCGCACAATTATTGCACAGTCTAAAATATTAAAAAATAGATATTTAAATATTGATGAAACCTTTGATGGATTTTGAAAATGTGTAAAACTACCCATCTAAAAATATTGAATTGCTGCTTTCTACAAATATCACTACTTAGCGTATTTTTAATTAAAAAGAGATTAGATAATCATTTGCCTGTTTATGTAAGCAAAATGCTAAACGGGCTGTTTTGTTTCAACCTATTAAATAAATAATTATTACTGTCCTATATTTATTTATTCATTCTTTAATCAAATAAAAACTTCGTTTAAAAGGCATCATGCACAAAGTATTGATTAAATTTTAAAAAAATAAAAAAGTGTCGCAGCATGTAGTGATAGTTTAGTCAGCAATTAGTGTGAATAGATTGGTTTGTACTGTTTTTGGAATCTATTTAAGAGTTTAAAACATGGTAAGACATTTGAAATATTGGTGCCAAAAATGTAATTTTTTGGCACTATTTTAAAAAAAAATAAAAAAATTTCATAATTATAATTAAACAAACATAACGTAATTATAAACACTATTATAACAATAAGGAACAATGTAACAAAAATAAACAATGTAACAGAAATAAACAATGTAGTGAAAATAACCAATGTAGTGAAAATAACCAATGTAGTGAAAATAACCAATGTAGTAAAAATAAACAATGTAGTAAAAATAAACAATGTAGTAAAAATAAACAATATAATAATAATAAGCTATAATATAAGAATAATCATTGATGGCATGACAGTACTGGGTGGGCCTTTGCTTTCCTTAGAAGATTTTTTTCCAGTCCACTCTTTAGCAGGTAACTGTCTTTTTGTTCTTTACTTTATAATTACAGATTAAACATATAATAAACCTAAGTTAATGAAACAAATTTTACTTTTTACCAAAAATGTTAATATTTATGACGTAAAATTTGAAAGAAGATTACAATTTAGATTTACTTGGCATATTTATCTAACTCTAACGTATTTTTTGAAAAAAAATATTTTTATTAATTAAACATTCTTCATAAAAATCGGGTCAAATTTTGATTATAGCTAGTGGACTAATGTGTTTAAAAATATTTTTTAAAATTTTTTTGTTTGTCAAAAAATCAACTTTACTTTAAAGAAAAATAGCTTTATTCAAATTAAACACAAATTAAAAATTGAGACTTGAGAAAACTTGCCTAAAAGAGTACTTGTGAGAGAATCTTGAATCACTGTTTAAAAAAAAGGTATGTATAATTATAATCTAGATTTAATGTATGCCTCATAAAACTTAATTAGTTAATAATCACTATTAATACTATTTTCAGACTTTAATTTATACAATATAATATTACTCACCAACACGTGAAATTACGTTAACCAGTGATAAATTTTGAGACATGGAATTTGATTATTTTTTATTTTTCTACAATTTTCTGCTTATTTTTCTACTAAAAAAGTACATGGTGCCCTTAAAAAAATATGAAAACTTTGTAATTTATGATGTATATAGAATTTCAGCATTACAAATTAACATTAAAATTTTTTTCCAAAATAATAATACAACAATATTTTTCTGTAATAAAGTTTAAAAAAAATTCCCTCACGTGTGCAAAAAGTAAAAAAAAAAAAGCTAACGCATCACATTTTTAAAATGGGGGGATAGGGAAAATTTTTATAAATTCAAAAAGAATATATCCTATTCCTAAAAAAACTTCGTAACTATCTATTTAGATGCCTAAAATCTACGATTCTATTTTAAAAAATCTCGCATTTGTAATAGAGAAAAATGCATTTGATTGAAAAAGTTTATTGCTTTGTATATAGTTACTAATAGACGGAAAAAAGTCGTTGCAGATGTTTGGAATGAGAAAAAAATCTAATAGATCCAATTTCTAAGCAGTAAGTTCGTTCTATTAGAGTTTTCATCTAATTATTGCTTTCATACACTTTTTTTCTTTCTCACTAATATTGTGTTGGCTCCGTACTTATTGGAACATTGTTTATTGCTTACAAGTGTCCATTGTTCATTACTTACAAGCATTCATTGTCCAATACATCTTGATAAATTGTCAATTAAAAAGTGTTAAAGCACATTTAACACATTTAAGATCCTATAATTTCATCATTAAAATGAAGATCTAAGTGTATATAGGCTCTATGTGACATTTTTACAGCAAAAACAGTTGACAAGAAGAACAGAAGATAATGTTTTCCCTTTATATTTTACCCACATACTTCCAATGTTCGAAATTTTTAAACCATCGAAGGTTATTTAAAGCATTCAAGTTCATGGCATTCTCTCTGTTTTAGGTGGTTTTAGGAGTTCTTTCGCCAAGCAAAATAAAAAAAGCCGCAATTTACTTGCCTTGTACTTTAAGTAATACCGTAATTTCAATATATATATACACCGAAGAACCATTACATTATGACCACCCTCCATCTATAACAATGGGCTCTCCCAGGTTTTCATGGTTTCTCGCCCAATAACAATGTTTTCATGGGGCACAAAAGGACCCATAATCCTCATAGAACAATCCCTGACGTCTGTAAGCTAATTGAACATAGTTGCTGACCAGGTTCACCCATTCATGTCAACAGTTTTTCCTGCGGGGGATGGTGTTTACCAACAGGATAATGCACCATGTCATAAGGGTCGAATCGTCGAGGAACATTCCAGTGACTTTCAAGTCATGTCTTGGCCCCCAAATTCACCTGATCTTAATCCAATAGAGCATTTGTGGTCCTACTTGGAAAACCAAATTCGTGCTGCCACGCTACCCCATCGCAATGTGAGGGAATTGCAGGACCAGATGGTGAGCGCTTGGTACCAGATACCTCAGACTACCTATCAGCTGCTTGGCGGGTGCATATATATATACACACGATCTTGTAGTAAAGCATTATTGCTGTATTAGAACCAATAAATTACTTAAATAATTCTACTGTTATTAAGCTTTAAAAAAACTGCCAATTTGGCGAGATATTTCCATCTAGACCGAAATCATTGATATCACTGAATAATTCCTAATTGTTTGCAATTTTTTATGAACCCAGATAATGTAGTGTTGTAATAACGCTACTACAAGTAATCACAATTTAGATCACAGACGATTTTTTTGTTTACGAAACTGTGGCTTTTCCTAATTTTGTCGTTTTATGCCATTTTTAGAATTAGCATAGAGGGTGTGAGAGAGAATATGTAATTAAATAGAATAGGTGTTACACATTAACATCAGTTATATAAATGGCATATTATTCCTCGGCAGAAACTGTTGCTTAGTAACTTCATCCACCAGGTATGAAAAATTTAAGGATTAATCAAACTAAATTAACGTAACCTAAGTAAACGAGATTAACGTTGAACCTAGAAATCTCTATTGTCACTTAGAACCTTTATCCACTTATCTCTTAGGTTGCACTTGAAGTCTGATTGTACAAAAGCATATTTTCGTCATAAATATTTTAGTTTTAGTTAGCTCATCGCTTTATACAGGGTGTAAAGTTGTTAACTTTGCACGTTATAGGTTTTGGAAAATATTCAAGTGAGAGTAAACAAAAGCGTTTTCGAATTCTGTCTTGATTACATTTGCGGTCTTCCCGTTTATTTCTGACAGAATCTTAAAGACGGAATAAAGCAAAAAGATTTTGATTAATCAATCTGGTTTTTGATATTTCTAACCTTTCATTCGCATTTACCCACCTTAATTATTGTTGTGTGGTTTTTACAAACGTTTTTGTTCTTTTCTCACTTAGTTATTTTTAGTTTTTACCCCGATGTGCATACTTTTCGATTTTATAATTGATAAAGATTAAAAGTTTATACTATGAGGGGTAGTTAAGGAACACTCTCTATATATCTTGCCAAGAATCCATAATATCATATAAAGCATAGTTTTTCGCTTACGCGTAGCAATGTCCTTTAATATTTTACGTAATTAAAATATATTGTTGTAAGAAATAATCCCAACTCGGTAAGAACCAGCTTCCTGTTCGATACGAACAAGAAAACAGGTCAATTCTGCCGTTTTCCAGGGTGAAACGAAAAGCATTCGTTTAAAATAAGCTTCGCCGCAACATATATTCATTTATAACACACATAGAAAAAAAATAAAAACAGTCAGACCAATATTGTTCAAAAAAAGGTTACATTTCAAATGATTTGTACGGAGTAGTTGTTCCAATAACTGTACGGAGCAATGTATCTTCCTCAGTTCCATCACTTCAATATTATTGCAAAGAACGGTATGGACACGTGTTAAATAGTTAGGTCCTTAATAGTAACCGTGAATCGGGAGTAATGGGTGGTGAATTTGGACCTAAAGCTGACATGGAGCCAAGTACGGGATCTTTGAGGCAGGACGATTCGTAATGCTTATTGAGATAAGACTTCAGGGCGAAGGATTTATTGCATCGTGCGCATGCGTAGTGCTTGAAAGCCGAGTGGGTCTGCATGTGGGCCCTCAGGTTAGATCTGTCTGCAAACGCCTTGCCGCAATGAGCGCAACCGAAAGGTTTTTCACCCGTGTGGGATCTCATGTGGCCTTGTAGCAGCCAGGGCCTGGAGAAGGCCTTCCCGCAGACGGCACACTTGTGGCTCAGATTGTGCGTGAGGACATGCATGGCCAGGGCAGGCATGCTGACATACACCTTGCCGCATGTTTCGCACTTCTTGGCCTGCTGTGAATCCGGACTACGGTGAGTCTGCTTGTGCCGCGACAGGTTGGAAGATGTGGCATAGTGTTTGCCGCATTCACCACACGTGTATCTGGGCCTGTCTCCTCGTGGCTCTGCCGTCAGGAGACCCGAAGCTGCGTTTCTTCGTCTCGATCGTCCGTCTGACACAAAGAAAGCATCGTAGGTGTAACTGACAGTGACGCCGTTGGAGAACACGTGGAACTGCTGGGCTTCACTCACTAAGAAGAGAAAAAATAATGTCACTTACAACACGACTCAAACAAAATAAAAAATTGCATTTTAAATAAATTTATTTTTCTTACAATCTTTTAGCTATATGGCTTAGTCATAAGGTTCATTAACCCAATAATAAATAGAGCATCTCAGTTAAACGCCAGCTTCTAAAAAAATGTAAGGTGCATCCAGAAGATCTCGAAATAATGCATCAATGCAGGATTGGGAATGATTTCCTGAAAAGGTGATCTATTCAGAAACACCATAAAGAAAAAAAGGAAGGATTTCTTGTTGTAGTCCATTTACGTCAAACTAGAGCTGCACAATGGGCTATTGGCGACGGTCTGGGAAACATCCCGGAGGATGATCCGAAGACATGCCATCACAATTTTGATCCTCAGCGGAGGGGATGGCACCCCATCTTCGGTAGCCCGATGACCTGCACGCGAAGTCGAGCCCTTTACGGTAGAACCGTTTAACGAGGACCCATACCGCACATCCTCGGTCCCTGTGCAAACTTCTCCAAGTGGTCAGTGATGCTTGACTTCGGTGATCAGCTAGGAACCGTGTCTTAACGATCAGCTCACTGCGAGACAACAAAAAAAAAGGAAAAAGAGGAGGGAAATGAATATTGGTTTTGTTAATAAATGTACAAAAAAGGAACATGGGGTCAACAAAAGTGTTTTTTGCAATTCTGACTATTCTAAAGCAATCCGGGCAGATTTTAATTTTCTACCAAAGCAATCTATTAATCGTTTCTAACCCTGCATTTTGTTATGAAATTTCGAATCACCAGGATACATTCTGCCGTCCAACCATTCTTTCTACAAATGGCAATTAAGGAAATTTTAGATTTTTTGGTTTATCGGCAACCTCTCTATAGCCAGAAGGAGTAGCTAGTTAAGTTCATCCCCATAGCTGAACCCTTTCTGTGTAATGGAAAAAATCCTCTTATTTTCTCATGATATTGTAATAGTACACAATACTGTCTGAGGCATCTTAATTCTTTTGTTTTCTACTTTCCTTGGCTTTTTAAATAGCTTTCAATATGGGGTACTGCCAGACTTTTTTGTATCGTAGATTTCTTGAAAGATATTTAAAATGAAACAGTATAGACAAATCTTTTTCAAATGGACGGCAATATTGAGACTCATAAATCATGATAAACGGTTATCATAATAAACTTAACGTAATCTTTCCCCTCCCACATGCATGAAAGTTACCCATTACCAAAACAGTTAGATCATTTACCGGCATTTGAAGAGATAACTGGTAAGCTTGACTTTGCTTTTCCAGCTAGAAAATGCTTTATTTTACGTTGCAAAATCGTGTACCTTGCAAAATCACGTTGCAATGTACGTTGCACGATTTTGAACGTTGCAAGATTTTGCAATGTACGTTGCAAAATCTTGTGTAAATCTTAAGAGTGGTGGTTTTTGGTATTTGTCATGAATCGTCTGACCTTTTTCATGACCCCCAAGAGAACTTGATTGGGCTATCATCAGTAGCTGTATTTACAAAAAAGAGGTAACTACAGAATGAATTGAAAGACTGCCATCATTGAAGCTTGACATAATATTGATACCCTTCTATTATTGGTAAAAGGTATGCTGCATCACATACTTTTATGGCATACAAAAGTATGACGCTTAATTTGGCTATAATCAGAAGTAGCTTTATTTCGGCAAGACATATTTCCCGGTTCTTTTTTACTTATTCGATGTTTTTTTATTCTTATCTAGGAGGTGTAGGAAGGAAGTTAATTCTTTTAAATGTGTGTTTAGATACAGACTTTCTGAAATATATTTGGTTTTTAATGGTATCTTTGAGTACCCAGTTATGGTAAAAAATAAAAGTGGCTTTATTTAAGTGGGACACACTAAATTTTTTTCTATGTTACAGAACTCCTCATGCACCACAAAGTGTAACATGAAGCTTACAGATGTAAGTGGACAAAGTACAACTGTAAATTGAAAAAGCACAGTATTTAAACTATTTTTTTTAACCTCATATACATTTCAAGCCTCAATGATGACTCAGTGGTTAAAGTACCGAGTTGTCCATTGTGTTAGGATTGGGTTTCATCCTTTGTGGTCGCTTGAAACTCACCAGGCATCTGATGAATAGGTACCTGTTTATCTTAAAAGCAAAAGCAGCTGGTGTGCAATGATGATCCTTATAGCTGTTATCGTGCTGTTGGTCTCAAAATTGTGGATCCTTGACCTACAAGACTGTTCCGGAAATACTTCACTTCCTTTTTTTTAAATTCCAAATACCGGTAAACACATTGCTGTATTGTGCTATAGATATTACGTGGGCCGGCATTATAGAATCTCAACATGACAGCCTCTTGCCAGAATAGCAGCGACATTGACGCAGAACGTTACAGAGTTCTTGCAAAATGATTTTTCTATTAAAAAGCAAAAGAATTTACTTCTGTGCAGAAATTTACACGCAATATTTCAATCTGTATTTTCGGCAGTCATTGATTTTCACGTGGGTTTATAAATGTCCCGATGTATTTCAAACAATATGTATTTACTTTTTAAGGCTATAATTCTATCGAATTTTTTTGAATAGTATTTCTCCATAGTTTTTTAATCCGATATTTTTTTATACGATATTATTTATTACAACAACCTAATCTCGAAACGAAACACTCATTTGAGTCATCCGATTCGCGTGATTTCGTTATCGATCTTTTTTTTCGGCAATGACTACATACGGATTTCTTGATTTTTAACTATTATTTTTTTTTATTGTGATGATTATTTACAAAATGCGATGAAGGAAATAATTTGTGCTTTCCTCCCAAACAAAATGCAAGAATATCACCCATAATATTAGAATAAAAGATTATTACACATTTAAATAAAAAAATATTTGATAGTTTTTTGTTGTAAACACAGAGCTTTTGTTATTTTAAATTAGTAGCACATATGTTTGCTATTATTAATATTATTAAAAGTATATCTTGCAGAATGATATTAGTGCTAGAGAGTTTTGTCGCAGGTAGCTCGAAAAATTCTGCTCCAGGTTCCAATTGAGATCCTTATTTGTTTTCACCTCAAACTGTAGAGAATCGAAGCCTTGTTCTGATCAGCGCTCTGATCTCTTGAGTACCCTTCTGTTCCCTCGTCAGTGAAAAGAACTCTGTTGATTTAGAAACATTTACACTGAATCCTATTTCCTTTCTATCTCGCGCAAAGTTTTAATTGTTGTTATGAAAAAAGAATGCGCGAGAATGTTTTTTTTTCTCCAAATTGTATTATTGGAATAAAATGCATACCTCTTGCTGAGGATGGAATGGGTGAGGAATCGAGGAGACGTGGACTGAGACTGCTTTCGGAGACCCGACTGCAGAGGGAAGATGTGTCACTGATGTCTCGACCTCGATGGCGGCTCAAATCCAGTTCTTTATCAAAAATATCACTCTGGGTTGCCGTGTCGAAGGAGAACCTCTCGTAGGGAGACAACAAAGAAGATGGTGAGATAACATCGTGAATATAACCTGCGGAAGAAATTGAAAGAGTCACATGGTATGTCTAAAAACCGATTGAAGCGTACAGATCTTGGCAAATAAAGCTACAGTCACCTGGCCATATTATTAGACCCACTCTAAGATTTTACGTAAGATCTTAATTATCAGGTGATACTTTATACAGCTTTATTGTTTTTACGCGTCTGAAACATTGTTTACGTTTATGTATAAATTAGTTAAATTAGACGATGTGTAATATAAATTTGACGATAGGATAAATTAGACGGTATATTATATAAATATAGAATATTTATTATATCAGGTAGTATATTAGTAGGGGAGAGTGGGGTCAATTGTAACAGGGTACGATTGTAACAGAGCAAAAATTTCGAGTGTCGGGTTCTAGATTTGGTTCCTAGGTGGCGCACAAGGTGTATTTAATAAATCTACATGTACAC